GGTTCTGTTGGTGACCTGTAACCAGCCTCAGACAAGTATCTGGAGATTATGTGAGGTGGCTGGAGTCTGTTGGTATTTTCGGCCCGAGTGAAATGTCACTTGAGGAGTGTGTGTGTGTGTGTGTGTACACGTACTTCTGTGTCCATTCTCTGGGCTGGCAAGGCCAACAAGCTGTTCTTCCACTCATACTGTCGTGTGTCAGAGAGATTTGGAAGATGAGCATTCCAGTTTAGGCTCATGATTCGTGTTTGAACAAAACAACTTCCTTTCAGTTGAACTATTCTTACTCTCTTCTGTCTTCCATTTATATTTCAAGTTCCTGTTCTCTTTTTCTGTATCAATAACATTTTGAAGTCTAATTCCTTTTATAATGCGGTGTGTAATTTTCAAGTATTTAGTTTAACGAATTTTCACACGTGTGTTTTCCCGTGTAACCAGCCCCCAGATCAGGACATGGAACATTTCCTGTGCCCTCCCAGTCAGTTGTCCCAACGGTAACAATTATTTTGGCTTCTACCACCCTAGAGTGATTTAGGCTGTTCTTGAACTTCATGAAAATGGAGTCACAGATTATCTAACTCTTGTGTTTGATTTCTTTCTTGCAACATTATTCTGTAACTCATTCATGTTGTTAAATAAAAATTCCATAGTATTATTTACTGTTTATGGACATGTGGGTTGTTCCCAATTAGGGGCTAGTACAAATAATAATGCAAGGAGCATTCTTGGACATGTCTTTAAGGACACAGAAGCAGGTGTTTATCTTGGGTCTATACCCAGGAGTGGAATTGCTGAACCAGAGAGCATACATATATTTTCTTCTGGTAGGTACCGCCAGACATTTTTCCTAAGCAGTTGAACTAGTCGATGCTAAGTTCCCATACTATGAAAGTCCAGTTTTCTTCTGCCATATTTTTATTTTAGATCGGTGATGCTGGTTACGGTGGGATGTTGAACTATTTGTCAGTCCATTAAGAGTGTATATACACACATGTTTGTATTTCACATTCATATGGGTGGATTCAGAGGTGGGTGTTTGCCTTGCCATATGCTTGGGAGGTTTTTGTTTTTGTTTTTGTTTTTGTTTTTGTTTTTGACAGGCAGAGATCACAAGTAGGCAGAGAGGCAGGTATAGAGAGAGGAAGGGAAGCAGGCTCCCTTCCCGATGTGGGGCTCGATCCCAGGACCCTGGGATCATGACCTGAGCCGAAGGCAGAGGCTTTAACCCACTGAGCCACCCAGGCGCCCCTGTTTGGGACTTTAATAGTGAAAAACTGCCCCTAGGAATTAAAAGGGAACCATCTGTTAGCTTAATAAAATGTAATATTAATCACAATAAAGCTTAACTATTGAATAGAAATCTGCTTTTATGACTCAGGAGTGAGCACGAATATCAACTGTCTAAGTGTGGTATTTAATTCCTGCCCAGAGTGAAACCAGAAGGATGAATTGACTCAGGGACAATCTCCTGAATCCTGCCTCTGGCATTATTCATTTGCAACAGGCTGAATTGCGATTTATGGCTGCTGTTTTCTCTCATTTATCCTTTATTCCTTTGAGAGGAAGCAGTAACTAAATACATTAAACACTGCTTAGAATCCTCAGCACTGAGCATTTTAATTCTATCAGGAGTGTATCCACATATGATTGAAAAGGAGTGGAAACTTAGGGCTTTGGTTTCCTCGTTGACATAACGGTTAGGTCAGGTGATCGACAAGTGTGGTCTGGAGGGCACTTTAATAATAATCTTGATAAAAGACAAGGAATCGTCAAAGTGAAAAGTATGTAGAATCAGTGTAGAAAAGCTTGTTGAGCTGGATTTTCCAATAACAGAGTTTTCTTCTGTCTGGACGAAGCTGTGCTAGTCCGTTCAGTCGTCAATCACTCATTTGCACGGTGGTACAGTTGCTTACTGAGTCCTGTGGCCTGGGCCCTGGTCTGGATGCTAGGCACACAGCAGGAAACAAAGCAAAGGCCTCGTTCTTACGGAGCTGACCTTCTTGAGGATAAGAGGCAAGAAAACGATACATACGTATGGGTCATTTGGCGCTCTAGAGGAAAATAAAGATGGTGTAAGGGGCATGGGAATGAGTGTCGGCTTGGTGTCGGGAACTACTGCTGCTTTTTATAAGGGAAGGTTGGGGAAAACCTCTCAGTTGGTGACATTTGCGTAGAGACCTGATGGGATGGAGCACGTGGACGTCCACCGGAAGAAGAGAAAGCCAGGTGGAGGGGGGAGCATGCCCCATGGGCCGAAGGGCAGGAAGGGGCCTCTTCCCAGTCGGAGGGAAGGCAGAGAGGGGGGCAGTATTTGGAGGTGGGGTCAGAGGGACAGCAGGGACCCAGATCAGATAGGGCTGTACAGACCGTGGCAATGACATTGACTTTCTGAGTGGGAATCCACTGAGAGGTTCTATTCAAATCTTTCCTTCCAGGAATACCTTGAAGACTGGTTGGAGAACTGACCTATAGAGAGAGGCAGAAACAAGGAAATGAGTGAAGATCGCTCATAGGTGTGTTCAGGCGAGAGCCCAAGGGTGCAGATGTTTAATTTTGTGGACTTACCACTATCTCTGTGTTTTATTAGTAAAGATAATAGTTGTATTCTCCAGACATGGATGAACAGTGTTGGCACATTTGAGCCACATTAGTAATAATTCAATAATATGCAAATCAGCAATATGCTGTGACTATTAAAATTTCTGAATTTAATGCTTTTTTCTGTTTCTCTAATATTTCCTTCTGAAAGCTCTTTTCTGTCTCCTCTTTTTATTTAATTAACATTCTTTGAGCCACTCCTATTTGAACTTGTCATTTGTGACGCCACTCTCTCCATCCTCTGGAAACACAGGGAGTCAGGTACTGTCGATAGCTTCCCGTCTCTCAAATCCGTCTCCTTTTTCTGCCATTCCCAACTTGAGCTTAGACCTTGCTTTCGTCTCCCAGTTAGCCATAGTTTCTCCTTCTCCAATCTGTGGGAAAGGCAGCAAAAATAATGCAGGTTTTGAAGTGGGACCTTGATTCAGATCAGTTCAGCTCTTTGTTCTTCCACATCGTTGTAGGGCCTTTTGCAAAATGTTAAGGGAGAGGTTGAGAGAGTCTTAAGCACACAGGGCTCAGTCTCACAACTCAGATCATGACCTGGGCCAAAACCAAGAGTTGGATGCTTTACCAACTGTGCCACCAAGGCGCCCCTCACCTTTTGCAATTTTTGAACCTCCGTTGTCCCTCTGCAGAATGAGCATAACTAATTTATAGGATTGTAGTGTGGACTAAGTGGGACAATGGAGTATTTAAAGTACCTGGAAGGTCATAGGTGTTGATTATTTCCGCTTCCGTTCTCCCACCTCACTCCATCCTTGAGCTGCCTGGCAGGTCCTAAAGTGTAGTTCTCCTGGTGTCATTCATCTTGGCAGAAACCTTCCACTGTTTCCTGTTGCCTCACATGTTAAGTACAGGCCCTTTTGCCTGGTGTTCAGAGCCCAGATTTTCTCACTCCAACTTCCATTTCCAAGTTTTTCCCCATTACTCCTCTTCTCCGAGTACATCATGTATCAGCAAATATGCTATTGTATTATCATGCCACCACTTCTGTATGAAAATCTTGTCGCTCTGTAAAAATTCTGTGCCTCGAATCATGTCTCAAGTTCTGTTGCCTTCAAAAGCTAACACTCTGGGGGCACCTGGGTGGCTCAGTTGTTAAGCGTCTGCCTTCGGCTTGGGTCATGATCCCAGGATTCTGGGATCGAGCCCCGCATCAGGCTCCCGGCGTGGTGGGAAGCCTGCTTCTCCCTCTCTCACTCCCCCTGCTTGTGTTCCCTCTCTCGCTGTGTCTCTCTGTCAAATAAATAAAAACAATAATTAAAAAAAAAAAAAAAAAAAAAAAGCTAACACTCTGGACGTGGCTTCTCCCAGTTCTAAAACATCATTGCACTTGGAAGAAGCAATATGGTGCCCAGGTTCTGGACCCAGAAAGCCCAGATTCAGCTCTTTACTCTTATCCTGGTAACATTGCTTCATTTCTGCATCTCCATTTCCCCTGCGTAATGAGGACAATACCTCCCTGATAGGGTTGTTGTGAGGACTTAAGTAAGGTACTACATGTGAAACACTTTGGATAGTGTCTGACATTTGGAAAGCTTAAATCAGTTTCTGTATAATTATAGGCATGAAAAATCAACATTATAGCATTAGGACCTGTATTTTACAGGGAATTCAAATGAAAAGCTACTTGGAGGTACAATGGAAAAAGAGGCATAGACTGGGAACCAAGAGACCTGAATTCTAATACAGGTCCCCACTACTGAACAAAGTGTGTGACAGTATGTCACTTAGCCTCTCTGGACCTTACATTCTTCAGCTGCGAAAAGAGAAGGACGAACAAAAATCACGCTTTCTTTCAGTTCAAACAGCCACCTGGATATCTCATAGCCACCTACAACTCAACATTGCCCAACAGAACTCTTTAATTTCCACTTTTTGAAACCCACTCCTCCCCCTCTCTCTGTAAATGATAATACCATCTACGAGTGTTAGGAAACCTAGGGGTTGCCTTTGAATTGTCTGTTCCTTTCAACATCTGAATGGAATCCATCTGCATATCCTCTTGGTTCTACTTCCAGAACATCTGATTCCACTACTTCTCCCTGTCACTGCTGCTACAGCCCTCGCCCAGTCATCTGCCTCTACTGTAGCCGTGGGTTCCAGATCCAACCCTTTGCTTCCACTCTTGCCGGCTTTCAGCCTAATTCCCACCAAGCCAAAGCGATATTTAAAACCTAAACCAGATAATATCACTTTTCTGCTTTAAACTCCCTAGTGGCTTTAAACTCCCTAGTGGCTTTTCACTTAAGCTGAGATCCAAACTCTTCTATGTCCTCACACCACTCTCCCCCTTATGCTTCAGCTGCCCTTTTTTCTTCTCATGCCAACTCACCAACCTCATGTCTGCCTAGGGCTTTCTTAGCAGGTGCTATTTTCTGTGCTGAGAATAGTCATCCCCCAGATGTCAACATGACTTGCTTCTTGTGGTTAGATCTCAGCTCTGATGCCCCCTCCCTTGTATCAGTAGTGCTCTATCACACCATCCTATTTTTTCCTAAGGTTTGCCACTATGTGAAAATAGCTTATTTATCTATCTCGTTCCCTTCAGTAGAAATTAAATGCTCTCATATTAGGGCCTCTTTCGTAGCAGTGCTTAGTACATAAGGGGAAAAAAAAAAACAAACCTTGACAATACATGAATAAACAGAAACCCATTTTAATGAGATATCAAAGTTTATATTAATTACATGAGCTAAATATTGTCTTTATTTTTAAAGTGTGAAGCCCTGTTTGTTTCCCTCCCTTTATACCGAGTGAAGATTATTGAGCACATATGCTTGTCCTAGAAATATGAATCTAAATAAAATAATAGTAATAACCGTGACAGGGTGGTTTTCCCCCTGATCTAAATCGTTCTCAAATTTACCGTTGTCTCCTCTCCCACACTAACCCCTCAGTGCAAATTACCATCTCCTCTGGCCTAGAAGACTGCCTCCCCTCTGGTCTTTTCCCTGTAGGTTCTAATCTCCCAACCATCTTTTCTCCAGACGGCAGCCGGCAGGCTTTGCGGTCGCTGCTAGACTCATGCTTGAAAACCTTCCGAGTTTTCATTGTTCTCAGGATAAAGGCCAGAACTGCCCGGGACCTCACGTCAGGGCAGCCCTCACTCCGCACTGCAGGCCACACTCCCTCCCTCACCCCCGGTTCCCGCCTGCCACCACAGTGGTGGCCCTAGCTTCCCGCTTCCTGGACGGTTCACTATCCTGCACCCATTTTGTCTCCTCCTGATCGCAGCAGATGGTCCCTTCCTCGGGGAAGCCCTCCCTGGTTAGGCCAAGCTCTCCTCCCCTTCATACAGCCCCGTATCACCGTGGGCCTCTCAGGGTCTCCTTTTACAAATGCATACTCCGGGACATGGTAACCTTATTAACATGCGTAGCCGCGAGCTCGTAGCTCGATAACTAATTGCGGAAGAAGTGGACTGAGTAGCTGCCCAACCACTCCTTGCCCCTCCCCCTAGGGCTGCAGGGCGACTATTACGCATTAAGCGGGCGCCGCGTTGAGGGAGATCTCACGGCGCCTGCGCGAAGGGGCACGCATGCGCAAAAAGACGAGCCCGCTGACAGATTCGCGGCGGCGGTGGCGGTGGCCCTGGCCCTGGACTGCGGGGAATGGGAGTCCTAGGTCTCTGAGCGCCGCCCCCGCCTCCCTGCCCCCGACATGGCTCAGGAGAAGATGGAGCTAGACCTGGAGTTGCCTCCTGGTACTGGCGGGAGCCCGGCGGAGGGCGGCGGCAGTGGCGCCGGCGGGGGCCTCAGGAGGTCTAACAGCGCCCCCCTGATCCACGGCCTCAGTGACACTTCGCCGGTGTTCCAGGCCGAGGCGCCGAGCGCCAGGCGGAACAGCACAACGTTCCAGAACCGCCACGGCCTGCTACTGCCGGCCTCCCCCGTCCGCATGCACAGCAGCCGCTTGCACCAGATCAAACAGGAGGAGGGCATGGACTTGATCAACCGAGAGACCGTCCACGAGCGCGAGGTGCAGAACGCAATGCAGATAAGCCACTCCTGGGAGGAAAGTTTCAGCCTGAGTGACAACGACGTGGAGAAGTCCGCCTCCCCGAAGCGCATCGATTTCATTCCGGTGTCACCAGCACCGTCGCCCACCCGGGGGATTGGGAAGCAGTGTTTTTCACCCTCCTTGCAAAGTTTTGTGAGTAGCAACGGATTGCCTCCGAGCCCCATTCCCAGCCCAACGACTCGATTTACTACCCGGAGAAGCCAGAGTCCCATCAATTGCATTAGACCAAGTGTTCTTGGACCATTGAAAAGAAAATGTGAAATGGAAACTGAGTATCAGCCAAAGAGATTTTTCCAGGGCATCACCAACATGCTTTCTTCTGACGTTGCACAGCTGTCAGATCCTGGCGTGTGTGTATCGTCGGATACCCTCGACGGAAACAGCAGCAGTGCGGGATCTTCGTGTAACTCACCAGCGAAAGTCAGCACTACCACCGACTCTCCTGTGTCGCCTGCCCAAGCGGCCTCTCCATTTATTCCAGTAGATGAACTTTCATCTAAGTGATTCACCCACCCATCCTGAGACTCGGTTTTTTTGTTTGTTTGTTTTCTGTTTTGTTTTTGTTTTGCAACGGAGAGAAAAAAATCAAGTCGGAGCAAGCACTGAACTTTGTCGATTAATTTGAGGCTATTTCCTATTTGACTCTCTTCCTTTTTTTGGAATTTCCTGAAATGTTGTTACTCTATAGAACTTTCATGTCAGGTTCCTGCAGATGCCCTTGAATTCAGTGTAGTAATATTTTCAGACGTTTTCCAATAAGTGTGTTGAAGCATACGTCTTTATGCTGCTAATATGTTTAAATACATATGTTATCCCTTGATTTTTTAAAATAATTGAGAGCTCTATTTATTTATGGGATTATTAAGTTCTGATGCAAATATAAATGTTGAATTAATCAGCATAGTAAACTGATGTTTTAAAATTCCATATTTCATGCCCACACTAATTTTTAATGTTATTTTTCAGTGATTGCTAATTTCTATTTGACGAAGAACTTAGCTATTTACAGCAATTTTTAAAAAATATGTTAGTTATAACATATTGATCTAGTGGTTGTCTATTTTATCCAGGAATCCTTGGATATTTAATTTTCTGGGTACACAAGTGGCTGGGAGGGGGAATGATAAAAGAACAAAATATGAAAGTTTGCAACAAATCTTTTTAAATTAACTATATAAAGTAAACACTGAAACGCATTTTCTAATGAAATTTTAATATTAATTCTAATAAGTTGTGCAAATAGAACTACAGGAAAGTTTAAGAAAAAAAATTTTTTAAACCAGAAAGTGCATTCTCTTGGGTATAATCCTGAAGGAAAATGGGACAGTGCCTTGCAGTCTTAGCCCATTCTACATAGGCTGAGACCAGGTTCTTTGTACCACTGCAAACTTAAAAGTTTCTCAGATAGAAAATGTGGGAAGCCCTGTTGAACTTCATCAGAGCACCCAGGCAGATAAGTCTCTCAATCATTGATATGCTTTAAAATATCCAGTTGTGCCTCAGTGAAAAATCCTTGCCAACAAGGAGCCAAAGCAGCTTTTGGCTGCTTTTCTGCTCTGCCCATCTGTCACCTTCCTGGTTATCCCTGGCTCAGGAAGGAAGCAGCTGTTTCCTTGCCAACAGGTCCTTCCTCTCCACCTCCCATCAAACTAGGGCACCATCGGTTAGACAGAGGTACAGCGTGACTTGGATTTCTGACAGTGTGCAACAACAGAACTGTGGAATTGTTGCGGGAACCTGTGTAGTTAAAGCCAGAGCTGGAGTTGACTGCTTTGGGGATTGCTAATTGATTAAGGGTCAGTGACTTGCAAGAGAAAATCAGTGGAGAGTCACATAGGTAGATCATTATTTAACTTAGATTTTATTAAAGGTAGAATTGTAAAATGTTCCTTTCTTTGCCTTTTACAACTAAGACAAAATACAGAAATATTTAATATCAAATGTTTTTATATCATGCTTCCTATATCTTCCTTTACTAGATAGATAGAATGGCAGACAAAAGGGGAAGGGGAAGAAATAAAATAAAGAGAGACCAAGATAAAAAGCTCCAGCTTTCTAAGTTACTGCTTATAGAGATTTTAACAATTATGTGGAATTTTTACAACTATGAGAATAAATGGAACTGGTCAGCTTTTGAAAGTTGCCTTAAGAATTCAATGAAATTATGTCGAGGGTAAGATTGTGTCCGTAGGCTGAAAATTCTCTGTTCTGGGTAGTGGTTCATGTACTCCAGTCCTGACCTTGTTCCTCCAGTTCAAACCTGTATAGCCAGCTTCCTGGTGGGTACCTTGACCTGCTTCCAGAGGCACGTTAACCTCAGCATCTCCAAAACAAAATTCAGTATCATTGAACCTGTTCTTGAATTCCCTAAATTGATGTCCTCACTAGCTGATTTTCTAAACTAGAAACCATGGGAAGTGTCTTTGACTTTTCCCTTTACCCTATCACATCCAGTGTAATCGCTAAGTCCTGTCTCCTGAAGTGAATCTGGGACGTCTCCCCTTCTCTGTTCTTTGCCTCTGATTAAACTTGGGTTCCAGCCGAAGTGATCTCGTCCATTTTCCCACCTCCCTCTGGCCCAGTCTTCACTCTGCCTCTAAAGTGATCTTCCTGAAATAGACACTTGATTGAAAACTTTATGTGCTTCCCCATTTCCCACAGCGTAGGGAATGCTTTCTGTAACCTGGCGTATAATAAGGTCCTTCATTCACTGGGCGTACTGTAAAACAACTTTACAACTCTGCTCATCCTATCTGAGCACACATCCTTCCTTCTTACCCTGCAAACTCCTTGATCTTCTTTAAATACACCGTGTACGTTCATGTGTTTGTGCCTTTGGATGGATTGTTCTCTCCCCCCTGAAAATGCCATTCCTGTCCTTTTCAGCCAGGCAAATGCTTTGTTTCTTTTTTATTGCATGTTAATTTAACTATGAAAGAATGTATACCTGCTGATTATAAAAGTATTTAAACAATGCAGATATCTATATAGTAAAAACTGAAGTCTGCCTTTTACTATGTAAAATTCATCTGCCCTTCCCATTGGTAATTTTTGTTAATTCAGTATATATTGTACAAGTTATTTTGCTCCTCATTTTCGTGTATATATGTATATAAATTCGGGAAACCAACATGTCCTTGACATCTCTCTTCCTTTTCTTTCCCCGTAACTTCCCTAAGTTTTAGTGGTTTTCTCTTCCGGAATCTACCCTACCCCCCTTTTCATCTCTGTGGCCACCCTGCCTGCAGGCTACCATTCATTTCCCTCAGAGACTTCCAAAGTAGCCTAATTCCCACTCATCCCTTTCACGCGTCCCTCTCACACGCTCTGGTCAGGTGTCCATTCATTCTCCATACAACAACTAAAGTAATCCTTTTAAAATTACATGTCTGATCCTTCCATCGTCCAGCTTAAGGCTTCTCCTTTGCTTCCTGTTATGTTTATGGTATACCAAAATGTACTAATTCTGGCCCAGGGGGCCTGGGGGGATCTGACATTTGCCCCTCCCTCCCCCTTGCTTTCTTACTGAATACATCATCTTCTCTCCCATTTTAGGTCCTGTGGCCAGATCCTTTTCTCTGAAGGTATAGGGAAGCCTTTATTTCTGTAAGCTTATTTTTCTGTATGGGTGGTAAATTTTAAATCAGATGAGGCTCTCAGAGTTTATATAGACCATTTACATTGTATTATTGTTTGTAACTTTAGTCATGACTTTTAAGGGCTTAACTTAATGTGAGACCTAGCCTTCAAAAAACAGTTATAAGGTCTTAGTACTGCTAAGCTATGAACTTGGTGCTGGAAGTCCCCAAGCACATCAGCATTTAGCTAAAGTACAGCCTGTCATGTATAACAAATCGCTGTGGTCTATTTTCCTTTATTGTGTTCGTTAAAAACACGATGAAAATGGAAAAAAAAGATGGTCACCGAATCTATGGGTGCTGGATGTCAGAACCTTTGAGCATACTTAAAAGATTGATTGTAACCAAGAATAATCTGTATTGAGATGCCTTCCAGTGACTCAGATTTATCATGTTAGGTCAGCTGGTTACACACCTACACCGAGAGACGGACCACTCTTAGATATTTGGCAGTAAGATGGAGAAAGTGTCAAGGTTTCTGAGGGAATCAAGACTAAGAAAAAAATTTTTTTCTTAAGACTGTGTATATAGAGCGTGAGAAAAAGTCTGAAGATCCAAGAGAGAGGTGGGAGATGGGAATAACTTCCAAAACAACAAACCAAGGAAGGTGTTGTAACCTGCATTTCCTGGGTAGCATCTGCAAATAGAAGAAAGGGTCAGCCTGAGAAAGGAGGTTTAGAGGCATTTTTTTTCCCCCTCTCTGAAAGCAGAAAGGAGAGGGGAAGAGGCTTGAACAAAGATACCAGTACATGTTGAAATGATTTGCTTTTGTAGGAGCTTGTGGGTGTGGAGGAAGGTATAAGAAAAGAGGAAAGGATTTGTATCTGATTGCTTCTATTTTCTAATTACCCAGTAGTCTAGGGTATTTGAGGGTGGGTGGGAGTAGATTTAGAAGCTTTAGCAAAAGAAAGATTTAATGTTGCCTTTTGAAAATCTGTAAAGCAGTGACTCAGGGTTGAGAGGAAGCTTGACTAGGCCCCGTTTGCGGGGTTGGATGGCAGATGCAGAAGAAGTAGATGGGATTGACCTAGGTTTAAGAATTGGTTGAGTAGATCTAGGTTGAGTCCAGTGTGTGAAGCAATTAAAGATTCTGTTGAAAGTGTAGCTGAGTTACTGGCCAAGGCCTTGAGGGTGTTAAGAGAAGTCAGCAGTGGGTGATGGACCAGACCCCTTTTCTCAAGGCCTTACGATCAGCCGTGACAAAGTATACAGAGAACTGGATCTCATGCAGAACTCCTGCTTCAGTTTTGCCCATCTTTTTCGTGGCTTGTTTCGTTTCATTAGAGAATCAATCTTTTTTTTTTTTTTTTAGATTTTATTTATTTATTTGACAGACAGAGATCACAAGTAGGCAGAGAGACCGGCAGAGAGAGAGGAGGAAGCAGGCTTCCTGCTGAGCAGAGAGCCCAATGAATCCGGGGCTCAATCCCAGGACCCTGGGATCATGATCTGAGCTGAAGGCAGAGGCTTTAACCCACGGAGCCACCCAGGCGCCCCTAGAGAATCAATCTTAAATCAGCAAGCCATGAGTCCCACTTAACGTGATAGAAAAAATTAAATCAGATTGCTCACTGTAGCCAAGACAATTCTTTATGCCTTCCTTAACTTGCCATCCAAGTAAAACTTTTTCTTAAAAGTTGAAATGACCTTTCTGTAAAAAGAAATTGCATATAAGGTACTTGCTATTGTCAGGCACTCTTCTAGGTACTAAACAAATTTATTTCATTTACTTTTTACCACTGCCATCGGAGATAAATGCCATTTTTCTCATTTTGCAAATGAGACAGACACAGAGAGGGGCTAAATAAATAACTTGCTCAGGTTTCTGAAGTCGGGTAGGCAGCGGATCGTGGTGGTTAGGAACACGGGCTTCGGAGCCGAGCGGTGGAGAGGATGACGTGGTCAGTATATGTAAAGTCCAGCAGTGCTGGGCAGTTTCCATAGAAGGGTCAGCCGTCCTTGTCACCGTGGCTGTTGTCCTGATAGTCATCTAGCAGGGACTGGCTAAGGAAGCTTCTGATCACCCTTGGCAGGCCAAAGCTCCTGCATTTACACTCAGTGACAGTACGCTGTCCACCCTTCAGGGCAGCCTGTCCTTTTATGAGGTCAGTGTTTTCCATGTTGAAGAGTCTTTCTTGCAGACGACACGTTCCTTTGTAACTTTCACAACTGAGGTCAAAGCTGTCTCTCTGGAAGATGCAGAACAAATCTTATCGCTCTCAGGTGATAGTTCTTCCTTCACATATCGGATCCTCTGTAATTACCTTCTCTTGCTTCTGGATTTGAGAAATCTGGAG